TGGGGAAAGAACACCACCAAAGGAGAAGAGGCTCTGTCACCTGTCATATGCTGTTGCTGTGCCAGTGCCAGCCAAACTCCCTTCAAAATCAGCTCCCACTCCACTTTCTGTTCTCTAGAAGTAAGTCCCACCCAGCCCTGGAGGATGAAGCCTTACTTAGAATTCTTCTTCTCTTTCCCCGCATTTATTTATTTATTTAGCCAATCATGCATTCACATCAGAATGGACTTATGAATATTTATTTTATAGTTCATATCCTCATAAGATCATGTCACCAATGCCTGTCAGAAAGTGACAGATGTCAAGAGAGGGCAGGGGTGGGGAGATTGCTCAGTAGAATGAGTGCCTGCCTGGCAAGCGCAGGGTCCTGAGTTCAATCCCCGGTACTGAAAAGCAAATTCCTTAAACTTTTAGTCTGGGTATGGTGGTGCATGCCTGTAATCCTAGCACTAGGGAGGCAGAAATCAAGATGATCACTGCAAGTCAAGTCTGAGCTGTGTCATGAGACCCAACACACACACACACACACACACACACACACACACACACACACACACAGAAGGCAGACAGGGTCTTTCAAAATAAGGAAATGCTGGGTTTGATGGGTAACAGCTTTGCTACATGATGAAGGACCCAGGATTGGCTCCAGTAGAAGGAGAGCTTTGAGGATATTTACTGGGCACATGTAAGATGCGCACAGGTGCCTAGGGCTAAGTTTTTCAGAGGGCTTGGTTATGGCTAGGTTTTCTGATTCTTTGATCTGTGCTACTTTGATCAAAGAATTCTATTACTGCTTCCAAGAATTAAGATGCTTAGTATAATAATGATAGGGCTCAAAAAGAAGACATTTAAAAAACCTACACTTAGACACACTGTAATAAATCTGTGAGATAATAAAGTAAAAAAGAAAATACTTAATACATGCAGAGGTGGGGAAAAAGCTCTCTGTAAAGGAACTCCATTGACTGTTGCTTTACCATAACAAAGTCATGAGACAATATTTTCTTTAAAATGCTCAGATTGGATAACTCCTAACCAAAAGCTACGAATTCATTCAAATGATCATAGGAGAATGAGGAAAAATACAAATGTCTTCAGAGAAGCCTTCAAAATTTTTCTACTAACAGATTGTCACTGAAAGATAAAGCTGAACCCAGAAGGCAAGAGTGAGATGATAGAATTCAAAACTATATATATATATATATATATATATATATATATATATATATATATATATGGATGTGTCTACAGAAGAAGTGATACAAAACAACAACACAAACTTATGGAGGGAATAAAAAACGCAATGAATCTAAAATATTGGACAAGTCCAGTTGTCCTTGGGATCTGTAGGGGATGGTTTGCAGAACCCTCCCTGCCAGATCTGTTGGTGCTCAGACCACTTATATAAAATGATGTAGTGTACTGTATCACTTATGTACATCCTCCATGTTCTCTAGATCTTCTCTGGATTATTGTACTGCCTGGTGTGATGTAACTGCTATGGAAACACATATATCTGGAATTGCATGCAGGGCTCTTGTACTGAGCTACATCCTCTGCTCTTTTATTTAGTTTTTGTTTTGAGACAGTCTTGCTAGGTCAGTAAATTGCCCAAGCTGAACTCAAACATGCACTCTGATGGCTTTAGCCTCTCCACCTGCTGGGATTACAGGTGGGTGCTACAAGCCCAGCTCTGTACTGCATTGTTTTGAGAATAATGACAAGAAGAAATGTCTGTCCAGGCTCATTCATTACAGACATGAGTTTATTAATTTTTTCCAAATGTTTTCCATTTGTTGTTGGCTTCACTATACTGTGGGACCTAGGGATCGTAGTGTAGTGGTAGTGACCCACATGTGGGAAACAAATCTTATTCAGAATTGAAGTGCTCTGAGTGCCTTGACTTGTTGAGAAGACAAAATATTGATTGATTTTAGATTCTAAACCACACATGTGAAACTTTAAAGAATAACTAAAAGTTGGTTTAGATTTTGTTAAATATTCATTTTGTTCAATATTTTTAAAAAGTCACTTTTAAAGAATTACTACTAAAATTGATGCTGCTGAACCTGAAAAGGAGGGCAGGAGAAGAGGAAGAGAGGAGGCAGAAAAAGAAAACCCCAATCAGGGCCTGGCTGTGTAGCCCAAGGCAAGGCTCCTGCTTAGCAGGCGTACCTCCTGGGTCAATCCCAGCACCCTCAAAACAAAAAAAAGAACAAAGCAACTGAAAAAAAAAAAAGAAAATAATATTCAATCAAGGTGATACAATACAGAAAAAGGAAAGAAAACAGAAATGAAAATTGGTAAGTATAATAGAGCAAGTAATTTGCCTAAACTTGCCAGATCAATCAGATTAGACTGATTTTTAAGAATGTATTTAGTACAGGGTCTACAGGGTCTCACTATACAGATTAGACTCAAAGTGATTCTCCTATTTTCAGCTTCCCAAGCACTGGGATTACAGGTGCACGCCACCATGCCCAGTCTCAAGACCTTCTCAGTGTGCCTCAGGGGCCGGGCTGGCATGGCTTACCAGCGATCAAAGCCCTGTCCCTTTGCCTGCCTAAGCAGGCACTTTAATCTTCTGAGCTTTCTGGCTGGCCCTTAGACTGATTTTTAATATCTAACTCTATTTTGCTTTTAAGCAACAAACATCCCAATTATTAGTAAATAATATTAAAAGTAAGAATGGGAAAATAAAGTAGCTTTGTTATTAGCCAAACACAATGGACATCAAGGCAAGAGTACTATTGGGCAGAGAACATGTGGATGTAGGGCTGGAACCAACCATTGGAAGAGCTGTTGTGTTGGCGGAGGGGCCAACACTTTGTAACATACTCTTCCATATGGCTGAGGGGGACCAAACCTGTAGGTGGAAAGTATGGACAGCCACACACTGACCCAACCTGTTATAAAGAACTTCCTAACAAAGCTCCTCCTAAAGGTATTTATTTAGGTGGAGGTGGTGGGGAAGGTGCAGCAAGGCCAGAAGTACATGGCCTCACTAGATAGAAGATGAGCAGGTTTGAGCATTAGAATCACCTAAGGGGGGCCAGGGAGATGGCTCAGTGGAATAAGTGCTTCCCTGGCAAGCACAAGGGCCTGAGTTCAATCCCCAGTTCTGCCAAATAAAAAAAAAAGATAAAAAAAGAATCACCTAAGGACTTGAGATCGTGGGAAACCCTTTTATTTTATTGAGACAGGGTTTTTCTTTTTCTTTTTTTTACATTAATATATTTATTATGGCATAAAGTAGTATTTTATACATTAACTCATTTTATAGTAAAAACTTTTATATACAACTGTAGAGAAACCACTGCACAGACAGCCCCAACATTAAAAAGGAAAAAAAAAAAAAAAAAAAAAAAAAAAGGGTTTTTTGTTTTTTTAAATGTTTTTTTTTTTTTTTTTTTTTTTTGTGGAACCGGGGATTAAACTCAGGCCTCCACTGAGCCATGTCCCTGGCCCCCCATTAAGCTATCTGACACTTAAACTGGAAAATATTTTCTCTGTAGAGAACAGTAAAAACACCTGCTTTCCAGGTCAGCCCAAAGCCCATGTAAACCACAGAGAAGCCGAATTACAGATTTACAAACATGGTCTGAGCTGTGCAGTCTGGAAGGAACAACTAACTTTGCTAACAAAAGATACACGCTTTTCTGAAAATCAAATTGTAAGAGGTGGAGCTGTTATTAATTCTTTCCTTTTACTCTTTATACCTGATTGTTCCATTATCATATCTTTATAAGCCATGTATTTCTATATAAAATTTCCAATGTTTTTATTAAAACATACTCAGTATTTGGGCAAAACTAGAATCTAATGTATTAGAGCCCACAAGGCACCCATGGAGAGGCTATCACCAGCACTTTCCCCTAATTCCCTGGGGCTTGACAGGACACCAGGAGGGACAGGAATAAAGCAATAAAACTGACAAGGAATAAAAGGCAAGGGAACTCTTTAAGAGGGCACGAGACACCTAGACAGGATTCCAGGAAGTTCAGACCGAAAAAGGGCGTCATCACCTCAGGATCAGATGATGAGCTGGCTCTCAGGGCCCCTTCTGCAAGGTGTTCAAAGTAACTGAATGAAAATAAGACAAACTGTGTAGTTTTGTTTTGGGCGGAACCAGGGACTGAACTCAGGCCCTTGTGCTTGCCAGGGAAGCGCCCATTCCACTGAGCCATCTCCCCAGCCCCTAAACTATGTAGTTTTAACTTTCTTCTAAAGCTTGTTCCAAGATTCCCATGACCATATACTTTATTAAAAAACCCCACGCAACCCCTTGAAAGTAACCTTTTGATAAATTCACAATACAGTAAGGTGTTGACATACTCTTCAGCAATATAAGATTGATACCGTCACTTCCTTCAATTCATTCTTGGTAAACAACAATCACCTTCCAAAAGGAAGAAATGGAGCACAACCATTTAAATTCTATCTGGCCTCACTTCCAAAGAAAGAGATGGAGCCATCTTAAACATCTGAAATCTGAAGTCATTGGCTTTCCATTAAAGTGTACTTCTATATATACCATCCCTAAATACACTAAAGCATGAATCACTATGAGATAAAAACATA